AATTTTCTTTCCAATCATCCTTGCATGCTTTCAAAGAATGTTGTAGTAGGAAGCGCTTTTGTGAAGAGATCTGCTGCATTGTCACTTGAACGAACATACTGAATATCCACTACTTTATTCTTCTCGAGCTCTTAAGTATAGGAGAAGCATCTTGGAGGGATATATTTCATTCTATTGCTCTTGATATAACCATCTTTAATTTGAGCGACACAAGCAGCATTATTTTCAAACACCTTTGTTGGTTCGTTGTATGTGATTATTCCACTTGCTTCTTGTATGTGATGAGCTACTGATCTGAGCCATACACATTCTCTGCATGCTTCATGAATCGCAATAATCTCCGCATAGTTTGAAGAAGTCGCGACCAAAGTTTGCTTTTGTGATCGCCAGGAGATCGCAGTTCCACCAAATTTTAAAACATATCCAGTTTGCAATCTTGAAGATAACAGAATATATGCTTTATTCCATTCCAATATCGGTGCGTCGGTTATGAACTATACCTTGCAAGTAAGTTAGTAGCAAAAGCTATATCTGGTCTAGTACAATTGCAAGATACATAAGGGCACCGATAGCGCTCATATAAGGCACTTCGGGACCTAATATTTCTTCGTTACCTTCACAAGGTCGAAAGGGATCCTTGTCAACATCAAGTGTTCTATTGACCATATGAGTATTCAAAAGAGTTGCTTTATCCATACTAAAGTGTTTCAACATCCTTCTGGTGTAATTTGATTGATGCACAAATATTCCTTCTTGGAAATGCTCTATCTGGAGCCCTAGACAAAATTTTGTCTTTCCAAGATTTTTCATTTCAAACTCATCTTTCATATGAGCTCTAGCATCATCAATCTCCTTTTGAGTTCCAATCATGTTCAAGTCATCAACATATACAGCAATTATCACAAATCCTGATGCGGATTTCTTAATAAACACACAAGGACATATCGCATTGTTGACGTAACATTTACTCAACAAATACTCACTTAAGCGATTATACCACATGCGTCCGGATTGCATTAATACGTAAAGTGATCGTTGTAGTTTGATCGAACATAGCTCTTTAGATGCTTTAGGCATCTATGATACTTCAGAGATCTTAAATCCTTCAGGTATTTTCATGTATGTGTCACTATCAAGTGAATCATATAGGTATGCAATCACAACATCCATTTGGTACATCTCTAAATTCTTAGAGGCGTTAGGCTCATTAAGTACATGAATGTGATTGCATCCATGACAGGGAAATATATTTTTTCATAATCTATTCCCGGACTTTGAGAAAATCCTTGTGCCACAAGACGAGCTTTATACCTTGTGACCTCATTTTCTCATTTCTTTTTCTTACAAAGACCCATTTATATCCAACCGGTATTACATCTTCAGGTGTAATAATTATCGGTCCGAATACGTTCCGTTTATTAAGGGAGAATATCTCATCCCTCATGGCCACTTGCCATTTATCCTAGTCATGCCTTCTTTGGCACTTTGACACGGAACTTGGATCTTGATCATAATTTTCATGATCGATCTCTTTGGAAATAGAAAAAGAGAACATTCCATCATTATCTTCTATTTCACTTCTAGCCCATAATTTTCCACTTTAGGCGAAGGAGATAGAAATCTCATATTTTTCTGTTCCAGATTCATCTTCAGGACAAATCTCTTAACCTAGTTCTTAAGGAGCTGGTTCAGGTATGTCATCCGGACATATAGCTTCATTTGGTTCTTCATGAACCTTTTCACAAATGTCTTCAGGGCATTTGGCTTTATTTGGTTCTTCCAGAACCTTTGCTTCCAATTTGTTTCTCTTTTGGGGATTTTTGTCTTTTGATCCCATTGGCCTCCCGCGCTTTAGCTGAACCGGTTCACTTGCTCTATTTACATCAATATGTTCTTCAGGAACATTTAACTTTGATGGAGCATTAACAGCGAGGATATAGGACTTCGTCACCCTTCTTGTATCAGTGAATGCATCAGGTAACTGGTTTGCCAATCTTTGTATATGTATAATTTTCTGAACTTCCACCTCGCGTTGGTTTGTAGGAGGATCAAGATAAGCCAAAGTTTTTGTACACCAAGTGATATCATTTGGTGATTCTCTCAATCCTCCCCCTAACGCAGGAAATTCACTTTCATCAAAGTGGCAATCGGCAAACTGTGCCGTGAACACATCACCAGTTACCAGCTCAAGATACCTAATTATACTTGGTGACGAATACCCGATATATATTCTCAATCTTCTTTGTGGTCCCATTTTTGTTCTTTGAGGTAGCGCTATAGGGACATAGACCGCACACCCAAACACACGAAGATGGTATACATCTGGCTTCTGGCCAAATGCTAACTGTATGGGGGAATATTCATTATACGCACTTGGTCTTACCTGGACCAATGCCCTAGCATGCAATAAAGCATGTCCCCATACAGTGATTGGAAGCTTTGTTCTCAAGATTAACTGTCTTACAATTAATTGCAACCGCTTAATCAATGACTCAGCCATGCCATTTTGTGTATGAACATGCAGAACCGGATGCTCAACATCAATTCCCAAAGACATACAATAGTCATTAAAGGCCGCTGAAGTGAATTCACCAGCATTATCAAGCCTGACTTTCTTTATGGCATAATCAGGAAAATGCGCTCTCAACCTGATTATCTGGGCAATGAATCTTGCGAAAACCATATTTCTTGTGGTCAAAAGACATACATGTGACCGTCTACTAGATGCGTCAATCAACACCATAAAATATCTAAATAGCCCCGCACGATGGGTTAATTGGCCCACATATATTATTATGTATTCTCTCTAAGAATACAGGGGATTCATTCCCAACTTTGGCTGGCGAGGGCCTACATCTGAGTTTTTCTTGAGAACATGCCTAACATGAAAACTCCCCTGATTGAAAAATCTTCTGGTTTTTCAATGGGTGGCCACTCGAATTTTGCACAATCCTTCTCATCATGACTGAACCAGGATGGCCTAACATTTCATGCCATACTCTAAAAGTGCTGGTAAACTTCTGGTTTACCGCAACATGTGATTCAGCCATGGTTATCTTTGTGCAATATAATCCACTTACAGTAACCATTAAGCTTTTGTCTTTCAACGTCCCAACCATGTAAATTTGTCCATCACACTTATTGTAAGTGGATTACTCAACATTCTCCCCTAGGAATGGAGTTAATTTAGTTGGACGAAAATGATGGTTTCTCATCACGAGTTTATTATATTATTAAGCTACCAGGAGGATTTACATCAACTCCGATCTTTGGGTGAATTCTCTCGCCTGGAGATTCAACCACTTATTTCCCAAGATCTTCAGGATCTTTACTCGTAATGGATTTATCATTTAAACTATCATGGATATGATGGCGTAAAAAGATCATGATATTTGCCGTATTTCATCGAATATCATTTCCGACATACAAATAGTGCTCAAGAGATTATTTCTTTTTTAGATGCAATCTTGCACCTACCGCCCAAGACATATAATAAATTACACACAAGTCAAGGATGGCGATCTAGAGCTTTGACAAATTATTACTCAATAACAAAAGCTTAATTTGTTAGATTAAAAATTTGAGCATAATAACGACATAATAAAAGACAATAAATAAAAGCAATATGAGGAGGCAGAGCCTACCATACAATTGCTGATTACATAATAAATAAATGAACAAATATGGGGATTTTAATCTCTCACACAATAAATAAATAAATATATATGATCTGAGGCGACATAGTCTGCCATGTGATCATTTTTTTATTGTGGAGGCAGAGCCTGCCATAACAATCAGCTGGGAGGAGACGGAGCCTACCATCCCGGCATAATAAATAAATAGTATAATTATTTGACCGTGGAGGCAGTGCCTACCATAACGATCAGCTCGGAGAAGACGTAGCCTACCATCCCAGCATGATATAATTATTTGATCGTGGAGGCAGCACCTACCATAACGATCAGCTCGGAGGAGTCAGAGCCTTCCATCCCGGCATAACATATAAACGGAGAAGGCAGAGCCTATTTTTCCGTAAATCACAATATTCAAAATAAATTGAACATAAATGAATCTTACCTCTCTGGTATATAGACAAGTCAAGAGACGATCGTGCTGATAACGTGTTGTAAACTAATGCTTTATAAAAATAAGCAAAGAAGAGTTTAAGATCTTTTGAACTTCAGAGAGAAAGAGAGAAAAATGAACATAATAACTTTATTTCTTTCTTCTTCTGAACTTATGATTTTACAAAGAATGAAGTCACCTATTTATATATAAAACTTTACTTATAGTGAAGTAAGCTAATATATAAAAACAAATCATATAGATAAATATTATCCAAAACATATAGGTAAACATTATCTAAAACTTATGGATAAAATGTTAATGTATAAAGACAAAACTAAATGGATAATCACTATTCATTTAACATATTTTAGTCTTGTGACTCATAATACCTCGTGGTGCACGGATGTCCTGGATGTTTTATTTTTCTTCTTTTATTGCGTCTCTGTAAAGAAATTGTACGCTAGTTCTAGGGCTTAGTTAATAATATTGGCCATATTGAGATATCGTATCAGAACTTTCTTTCTATCGTATTAGTTAGTTCAAACCGGATTATGGTTAATTTCTGTAAACCGGAACAAGAAGAAGCTAGAACTCTGAGAACAATTGAACTAATAATTTCCACCATCCGTACGGATGCAAAATTGAAATTAATAAGTCACCCAATTGTGTCTACGGTCAATGGTGGGATCATCACTTCCATTGTGTGGTCCCACAAAATGACAAAGGCAAGATCTGAAGCACAGATTAGGACAAGAACAACATCAATTGAATCGACATAGGTATGGCTCTAGTCTTTTTTCTTGGAAACTCCATTGATTTTGAAATTCTATCCTGTATGGTGGAGAAAAATTATCATCCATGCAAATTCCATGATTCAACGTTTAGGGTTTTATTTGTTGAATGGTGCAGTCAAATTCTGCATTGTTTTTTTTTTCTTTTTTTGCTTAAAAAATTCTGCATTGTTGCTAATTTCACAATTTGATTACATTGGATTTTCTCATGTTACAAAGAAACGTAAAGCTGGGTAAATAAATACAAATATTATTTGGTATTCTGAACCTAAAGCCAAACATCTTACATCTTACATCTTACAAGCTCTGTTTAACATGGAAGAATAGTTAATCCTCTGGTATGAGATGTGTTCTTTACATATCCTAAAAATTTAATAGGTTAACTATTGGTGTAAGATTCTGAAGCCATGGGCTTATGCTCAAGAACTGGTCTTGTCCCCATTCGAATCCTTGTTTAGGTAATTGCAGCTCTGGTAGTGGTAAGACTCCACACGGCAGCTTCACTGATGAAGATGGTTCCTTTCTCTCTGTTTCTCTCTGTTTCTCCTCGTTCTTTGCGTTTTGGGCGTGCCCTTGAAGCATTAAGATGTTGTTTGCTTCTTTCATGGTTACTGCTTGAGGGAAAGGGTACGAGTTCATCATCAAGTCTTCCTCTATTCCGACGAAAGAAATGGTATCGGAAGACGAGAGAGGAGAGTTTGGGCATGTTTGGTTCATCTTAGCTTCCATCTCTGCTCTTTGCTCCAATACTTTCAGTGAAGTGGCTTTTCTATATATCTTACAAAGCACAACGTCCTGAGATTCAAAAAGGGAACACAAAGATGAGAAACAGAGTTGTTTCTTGATCATCACACAAAAAGGATTCGAACATAGCTTTTTGGTTTTTTTGTAAGGTACCTTTGGTAAGGTGCAATTGTCAGGCATACGGAACTCGTTCATGACCCAATCAGTCTTGCTTCCCCCAGGAGCTCTTCCTCTGTAGAACACAAGGGTCTTCTTGAGCCCAATCACACGTTTTGGCTCAGACAAGCTAATGATTTTACGATCGGATCCAGTTGCTTTCCAATATCCTTTCTCTGTTGTCCTGCTTGGTCTCCCTCCGTTCCCATGCTTCCTTTCTCTTGGCACAAAGAAATACCATTCTCTCTCGCCGATTTTCGATAAAACTGTGATTCAAGATTCAAGACTTTAACAAAACCTAGTAGATAAAAGAAGCTTGTAAAGAAATGGAGATTATGCTAGTACTTACGAGGTAAGTCCCATGGATCATGACGATAGATGTTGAGGAAACCAATGACTTCAACTTTCGATATCTTCCCGTAAACCATGTTCTTGAGGTAGTAATCAAGAAGCTCCTCCTCGGTTGGGTGGAATCTGAAACCTGGAAGCTCAATCTCTTTAGACATACCTCTCACTGTCTTTAAAAAATCTCTGTAGATTCTTGTTCCTCTTAAAAGCTGTGTAAGTAGTGTTTGGTTGTTGGTGATATCACTTAGGTGTTGCAAATGCTCATATATATATATATATAACATAGGACTCCTATGTGTTGTGAGAATGTGAGAGAGATTTTATGTGTGTGTGTGTGTGATGGGCCACTGTTTTGCGAGAGCAGACCAAGTCAAGAAGGTAGATGTGGAGGCATGATTTAACATTGAATATTGAAAGTCTTTAGTTATATTTTTCCAAGTGTGTTACATTTTTTCTTTTCTTCCACACTTTTAGATGTTTGTGATGTTTATTACTGAGAAAGAAGAAGGGTCTTGATCAAAGTGGATGGAGCCCACACGCTTTTATCTTGAGAAATTTAGAATGGGTCATGAGGATTGGACCAGAGGGGAGCTTGGTGCCTTAGTTTCCTGTTCTGTTTTTTTGCTTAATATATTTATTCTTTAATCAAAATATGTTGTTGTGACGAAGAATCAAATAATTTATTGTGAAAAAGAATCAAACAATTTTAGATCGTGGGACTTCCACCATTTTATTTAATCTTAGCTTGACTTTAGAAGTCTCCTCCAATGACTGGAAGTCTTTTGTCTCTGTGGGACAGAACCTTGAACTCTATATTCTTTGTTCTGATGAATCATGTTTACTCAGAGATAGATTTATCAGTTTTTATCTTTCCCATTTCTCTTGTCGCTTTAATTAATAAGCATACCGTATTTTTGATTACTTAGCTCGTTTAACAAAAAAACTAAATTTAATTAATATTTTGGCTTTTTTTTTCCAATTTAGATTACTAATTTGTAAGTTTTTTGGGATCAAATATAAGTGTACAGTTCACGAAGAAAAATATTCTCTTTGTAAAATAATATAATTTGAAAAATTAATTATAAAAATTATTTTAAACCGAATATAAAAAGAAAATATTGTTAAAAATATTGATTTTTATCTTTATTAAAATTATTAAAATATATTCAAAAATCATTAAATCTAAAAAATAAGTAATATAGAGACATATTTTTTTTTTGAAAAAAATGTAACAATATTGTTTCACTTTTATCACTAATTTTTTTTAATTACATGTTTAAGGTAAAAAATCATTCATTTGAAATTAATTGTGATTTTCATACTCTTTGGGCGGTTAGGAAAATGAATCGATTCGACAAGGCTAGTTTGTAAATTAACCGATAAATTTATCTCATAATATAATTTTAGATGAATTTTCTAAGAATATTTATAATTTCAGATGAAAAGAGATATTAATTTTTTTTTAAATTCTATTTTAAAAGTAAAATCACATGGCTACAAAAAATTAAAATCATCTCTAATGATATTATATATAATATTTTTATTTTAAAAAATAGTTCTGTAATTTTAATATGTGATTACTTTTTATCTAAACAAAAATCATAGATTTTATTGTTATACTTAAACAAAATTATATTGACAATAATAACCAGTTACAAAATAAAATAAAATTTTCATTGTAATCATTTGATTTTAACAAATTTTATTTGTTTTTGTTAAAAATATAAACTAGTGAAATTTCTGTATTTGTAAAATGAAAAGTTAAAAAAAAACTAATAACTAAGTAAGAACAGAATAAATTTGGAATATGTATTTTCTAGAATAAAAATGAGAAAGAATTATTAGAGAAAATATATTTATTTATTTTTAAAAAACTCTATTTTTACAGTATAAATAAAAATAAATTATTATATATGGTCTAACATCGTCATGTGCAACTTTTTTTAAATAAGTTTGTAGTATCATATAATTATACTGTATATGTTTAATTATTTGAGCTCACATGGCTGATTTTATGGCTGTTTAACGCGATTCTACAAAATTACAATCTAATCACCTCTGTCTGATATCTATTATGCCTTATCAAAATATGTTTTTTTTTAAAAAACATGGATCAAAACGACAATACTTGCATAGAAACTATGATACCCAAATATTTGAGGAAGCAATATTACATGAAAAAGGCTTAAAATAATTGATTTGTTTATTGATATTATGAAACTGCACTTGTGTTTTCACTTGTTCAAAGAGAATTTCATAGTTAAAAATATTTGAATTGGAGCAATTTAAATATGGATAACATACCAAAAATGAATTTCAGTATCATGTAAGAACAAAACACAAGTCTTGCAAACTTGCTGTTAAATGAGGATGGAACCTACTGAGAGAGAGAGAGAGAGAGAGAGAGAGAGAGAGAGAGAGAGAGAGAGAGAGAGAGAGAGAGAGAGAGAGAGAGAGAGAGGGTATTACATGAACGGTTAAACAATTTATTGGGACCTTCACGAGCAAAGGCAAAACCATTGTCCATATCTTGATTAAAGTTTGGGTCAGGTAATAAACCCTTTACAAACATATTAAGACCAAATCGTTTTGAGATATGATTACGGATATTGCAGAGTTTTGGAATAATAATATCCATTTGCCTTTTAAAATTAATGCCGTTACATTGTTTTTTGTTTGTTGATTTAACACCCCACCCGTGTGTAAAACTTACAAGATTTGTTAGTAGTTTGAGTATTAAATAGAAATTGATTGGTTCATAAACTACTTAGAGAATAAAAAAAAATTGCTATGTAAGCCCACTTGGCATAACAGTTTATCAACTGGTTATTAATATTTATACATCAGTTTCAATTCTCAAAGAGCTGCAGATTAATAAAAAAATTATGCAAATTAATAGAGCAAAACTCAAAAAAAAAATATTTGGTATGGTACAAATAAAACTATCATGCATAAAATTTTATATGATAATAAGCATAATGCAGATAGAGCTGTTAGTAATAAATTTTCATAAAACAGTAAAATTAATCGTTAAAAAATTATTGATATAACATTTTTCATAATATATAAATAAATTAATAAATCAATATTAAAAAAATTGCATATGTCTAACATTTTTCCATTTACTTTTTTTTAACAAAAGAACAAACAACAATAAAGAGTGTATATGGACTAGTGCGGCTAGGAATCTAGCATGTTTGCATATGAAAATTTCTCGGAAACTGCAAAAAAAAGCTAATTTATTTCCAACTTTTGTCTTTTTAAATGCCAAAGAAGAATACACTATTCAGTAAACGGACAACAATATCAAAGAAACTACTCAAATAAGTAGGGCCCTAACTTGAAGTATCTATAATACTACACCGAAAGCAAAAACAAAACTTGTGCAATTTGCAACGAGAAAAATTAACCATTTAAATTGATTGATAAATCATTCTTTTTCTTAACGTGATTGACAATTATCCAAAATAAACAGGTCAATTTACCGGTGACCCAATAATTATGCAATGTAAAGTAATTAAACTTAGATATTAGTTACATCCATGGATACATCTTGTGTCAATAATTGAGATTCACTTTCTCTATTAACAAATACAAGAAGAAAGCATATGGTGTATAGTTAAACTTACTAGTAACAAAAACTGTTTAAATAATCACATTCTTGTGCTCGAAGTATCACATTCTTCATTGGCAAAGCCATTCTTTTACAGTTTTTCCCTTAGCAATGAAACTACCAACGTTCTTCCGGTCGATCCTCATCGGGCTTCTGGTACGAACCATTATCTTTTTAACCAATGCTTTAACCGGTGACTCTCCTCTTACGTTGCTGTGCTTACCAGAACCAGAAACAACTACAATCTCTGCAGGAACCACACATTCCCCTTCACTAAATCTAAGCCTCATCTCATTCATCCACTGCAACATTATCAAATACGATGAGCTCAAGTGCATACCATGCAAATCCAACTTGCCTTCTAACGAATTCCACTCGATTGCTTCATCTAAGACCGATGACTGAGTCAACACGCGTACCAAAACCACCTCGTCCTCATTCAGAAAAGTAAGCAGTTCAGAGAGAGAAAGCGGACAACTATCCAAGTCTTTCAACAGCGATGTGATCGTAGGACAAGAATTCAAGACCGAGTTATACGTTCTTGTGGATAAAGGAACGTTATAATCCTTCAGTTTCTGTAGCCAAGAACCCATTTGGGGAAGAGCTTCATGAGCTCCATAGGAAGAGAGAACCATATTTGAACAAACTGTGTCGATCTTGTGACCTTGTGTCTCCATTATCTGCACTACTCTGTTCATGTCGTCAAACAATCCTAACCTTCCATAACCGTATAGAACAGACTTATACTCAAACAATCCTGGCTTTACTTTTTCGATTCTCATCTCCTCGATAACTCCTTCTGCATTATGAGGTTGGTCCATGTTGCATAATCCAGAAACCATAGACTTGTAAGCTTGTGTTTTGACATAAACCGATGAAGATCTCCGGATTATCTCCCTCAAACGAACGCAAGCTTCGTTGAATCCTTGTATTGACCCTTGTTTAGAATTTGATTCAACCAAATTGCAGAGGAAGAGAGCAAAGTCTCGTTCTTTTGACTCCAATCTTGAAACCGCAGTAGAAAGTAGAGTTTCTGATTCGTCGAATCTCTCTTGCTTATTGAGCAGAGCAAGAATCTCAGCAATGAGCTTGGGATTCCAATCAAACCATGATGCTTCAGTCATTTCTGAATACAACTTGAGATACAAAATAACAAAACCAATTTCAAGTCATTCACTTTTAACATCTTATTGACTTAGAGAGAAACGAGAAACAAGAACATAAAGCAAGACTCACAGAGAGAGCAAAGAAGGAGAGATGGGGATATGAACTTTGAGCAGAGAGGAGATGAGAGAGGACATTGAGAGACACTGATTTGGGAGAAGCAGCCACAAACTTCTTAATGTAGCGGTTTGTAGCTGAAGGATCTCCAGCTAAAGCCGGGGAAGATAAAGAAGAGAGAAACCGATGGCCTTGCTTCATCAGAGGCACTGCTCCAGCCTTCATTGATGTTCTGTTATTACATGACACATTTCTTAGCCCTTCTGCCCTGTAATTGATACCTTGGCTCAGCCACTGAGGCGGAGTGAAAAGGAACCGTTGCAAGTTCTGGACTTTGTGTCTGGAGTGCAATGTAAGAGGATAAACAAGTGTCAAGGTTCTGGTACAACCCACACCTGCATAGTATAGTGGTCCGTATGAGTAACACAAGTACACAGAGCATGAAATCAACTATATAGATGAGTTGAATCAGAAACTGAGATCCAATTTCAAAAATTACACACAATTACTGTCAAATTCAGTTCCAATTAATTAGAGAACCCAATGCTACACAGAATTCGGAATTCTACATGTTCACCAGCAACAAAAACCCAGATTTTCAAGATTAAACGCGAGACACTCGTCTATGTAAGACTACGCAAACTCATAATCAGCAAAAGGGGGAAACTTTAAAACACTAGTTAGCAAAATCGAAAGAATCCAGAGAGGCAGTGAATGGGTTAATAATGCTTTAGGGGGATGAAGATGAGGCCAGTCGGTTTTACCGCCATGGACGGTCTGGATAGGCCGATTGGGCAGTCTCAAAGCTGCCATTTTTGACCGAAAAGCCTCCGACAGATTCAACGACTTTCCCTCTGTTTTGCCGTAAAATCTGTTTCCAACATCACTCAGTCACTCACTATACGCTCGAGCGTCAGCGTGAACCGGACTTCGGTATTAAACTTCGGTTTAGAAATTTGGTACCGGTTTATGACAAGCCATGCTTACTTTTCTTTTGCACAATAAGACTTCCGAGTTCTGAAGGGTTCGTTGAAATTACAAGTCCATTATTTGGTTAACCATTAGGTGACAATTATTGATATATAGGAGCTTACGTCTTTTACTTGCTATAAAATCAAACTGTTCTGTTTTTTTGGTAAAAGATTACAAAGAAAGGTTCTCTATGTACAAATGCCAAGTAAACTAAAAAAGATTGTAACTTTGTGAGGGTCTGTTACACGCAAAAGAAACAAAACACAAAAACATGCAATTTTCAAGTTGTGTGGTCTCTATGGGTTCTCTCAATCTCACAAGTGTCAGAGCGATTAATCTCCGTAACCATATCAATATCATCTCCAAGGTCGTAGAGTCAGGATTATACAACAACCTGCTTCAAGATCGGGATGATGTTTCACCACGCTGACAAAGATACAATGTTTCACATATTAGCAATAAGAAGATACTTAAAAGCATAATTTATCGAGACTACTGCAGAAATGAGAGATGTTAGACAGATAAAAAGGATAATGTTACAGAGTTTCCATTAGCCACAACTTCACTGACCTCATGAGAAGTAGTAATCCATGGAGGTGGAGGCCAAAACAGCTTGGCATACTCAGGGAGCGTTTGCACCAGCTCTATTTTCCCAGTCCTGAAATCAAAAACTCCCAAATCTCGATCTTGCATCCCACCCAAGTTATCCTCATTGAAGACATTCCCGTTGAAGAACACGGAGCTTCCCTCACAGTGAGGTAATATATCAGACGCTGAAGCGGAGAAGGTGCAGTCATCACCAAGAAACAACATTTTATCTCCCAAATCATTAACCTCAACCCAACTATTCTCTCTTTCCACAAATCTGAATACTTTAAACTTGACCGTTCTCTCATTCACATAAAACGCATGATGCTGCAAGATCGCCTCTGCGAATCCAGGATCACCATCAACCTCCTCCATGCTCAAGTACATATCGACGAGCAACATTTCACCACAAGACTCAATCAGAAACTTCTTGTCACCTCCATACACAGGACTTGCAGCCAAAGTCAGTTTAAGAGAAGAGAAATCAACAACCACAGTCCTGCCATTGTTGTCAACAGCAAAGAAACGTCCGTCGAAGAGCATCACGTCATCGTAAGGAGAAGGCATGTCATTGATCACAGTCCAAGCACGATCCCAAGACCTAAACACAGCTAGTTTCCCGGAAACATGAATCGTAAGCAGCACGAATTTGTAACTCTCCGCATCACTATCTAGGTACTTGACAACAGCTTTCTCCAAGAACAAAGTGTTTACGATATCACCGACGTTATTGAAATAATTGAGCTTGAACTCGCTACCCAGTTCCCGAACCTTGAATCTCGACATATCGAGAGAACGAGGGAAATGCTCGGGAAGCGAATGTACTCTATTACTCAGCGGATCGAGAAGAGTCACCTTACGAGGAACGTTAAGGTCTTCCTCGACCTTGACCAGCCATCCAAACAGATCCGCGTCGCCACTGTGCGGCTCTTCATGAGGCTTGATGAGTAAGATGCTCCGCTGAGAGAGTCGGAATCCTACGGCGGAATCCGGGAAGAAGCTGGCGCCGTTCTCGGGGAGGATCGGGAGGTTATGGGTTGGGAGAGGACGCTTCGGCTCGGCGGCGGATCGCCATGACGAACACACGGAACGGAATTGGACGAGATCGAAGGAGGAATCGAGACATTTCGAGATTAGGTCTAAGAGATCCTTCGGGAGTGTTGCCCAATCGACCATTGATGATGGATTGAAAGCTTTTCCACCAGAGAGACGATCTCAGACACAAATTGGGGATCAAGACGCTAAAATTTGACCCGACCCGACCCGACATAACCCGAATCTATAACGGGTCAATTTTTTAAGCCGCTCCTCTACCCATGTGGAAGACTCTTAAGAAATCAGAAGGTTCAACGATTCCTCTATCCTTAAAACGCTGAGTTTTGGTTCGAATCAAATCATTTTGATTTTCCTTGTAAAGTGGATCCGGGGAACAATTCGGGATCAGATCAGATCATCGGACACAAAACTCCAGAGAGGTGTGACGAGATCTCCACAGTTTCCGCAAATTGTTCTCTTTGTTGTCGGGTCCAGCACTAGAAATTGAATTCTTCGTGGGTAGATCAGAGAAGAGAGACTTCGTTTGATGGAATCCATCGTCGTCTGCGACGGCGGAGTAGAAGGTGGAGGAGATGTCGACGGTTGCGATGGCGAGGGAAGCTTGGTTATGTTACCGGCGGCTCTGTTGGAGACAATCATGACGAAACTCGACGTTGCGTCTCTCTGCTCGTTAGCGTCCACTTGCAAAACATTAAATAGCTGTGTTACTCGTGTCCTCACCTTCACTCCCAACTTCCACATCTTCGTGAGTCTAAAAATCTATCCTTTTTACTTTCAATTGAACTGATTGCTATTTCTGAGATTCATTGCATGAGTAAAGATAGTTGTTTAGTGATTCTAAAGGGTTTCCTGGGATTTGGATTTCTAGATTAAAAAGTTTGTGTCTTGACCTCTGCTGCTGTGGTTTTTTTTTCGGATTTCAGAATGTTTCACTGTCAATGGAAACTGTTAGGCCATTGTTGTTTCCGAATCAGCAACTTTCAAGCCTCAAGCTTGATTGTGGACGGCTTGGGAATTCAGCAATTGACATATTGGCACGGCCTTCTCTGAAGGAGATCTCTCTCCACAACTGTCGCGATTTCAGCGGGGATCTGATCTCTGAAATTGGAAGGAAATGCAAAGACTTAAGGTGCGTGTGTGAAATGTATACACATATGTGTCTGTTCTATGAGAAATCTTCTTCCCACTGTTCTGATGAATTGTTCAATCGTTTCTGAAACTGCAGGCTGCTCTGTTTGGGTTCAGTGGCAGAGAAAGTTGGTCGAACCATTGACCGTTGTGCTCTGGAGGATTTACTGAATGGTTGCTCCCATTTAGAGGTTTGAATCCTTAGTTAACCTTTTTGCTTTAAGGGAATGTGATGTAGACACATTGCTAACTAAGTAACTATGTGGTCTTGGCAGGGCTTAGCACTAATGTTTGACCTTTCATTGTATCTTCGTCCTGGCGATTGTCGCATTTTTGGATTAGTATCTGATAAACTCACACATCTTGAGCTTGGACACATCTCGGCAAGGATGATGACTCAACTGCTCACATCAACTGAAATATCCGGGCAAGACAACAATAACCCTGTTGCATCTACTGTGCTTCAGAATGTCCAGCAGTTGCGCCTCTCTGTTGATTGTATCACCGATGCTGTAGTCAAGGCAATATCGAAGTCTCTTACCTCGTTGATAGATTTGGACCTAAGAGATGCACCTATCGAGGATCCAAGACAAGTATCAGACCTCACGGATTTCGGTCTCCAGGAGATCAATCAGAACGGTAAGCTGAAGCACCTCTCTCTAATCCGGAGCCAGGAGTTTCACCAGACGTACTTCCGGCGAGTTAGCGACCAAGGAATGCTTTTCCTTGCTGACAAATGTTTGGGAATGGAAAGCGTTTGTCTCGGCGGCTTTTGTCGGGTAACGGATGCTGGTTTCAAGACTATCCTCCACTCTTGCGCTAGCCTCTCCAAGTTTAGCGTATACCATGGACCGAAACTGACGGATCTTGTCTTCCACGACGTCCTAGCAACTACGTTATCGCTTAGTCACGTTAGCCTGCGAAGGTGCCATCTTCTCACCGACCACGCGATTCAAAAGCTGGCGTTGAATCTCAAGCTCGAGGATCTTGACCTAAGAGGTTGCAGAAACCTCAGGGACGAAGCCTTAAAAGCCATCTCTCGTCTACCAAAACTGAAACTTTTACTTCTTGATGGCACCGATATAACCGACACAGGCCTTTCTTATCTAAAAGAGGGAGTTTTGTGTTCCCTAGTTTCTTTATCTGTGAGAGGTTGCAGAAACCTAACAGACGAGTTCATGATTACTTTATTTGATGGATCCTCGAAGCTAGCTCTGCGCGAACTCGACTTGTCCAACCTTTCTAACCTGACCGATGCTGCGGTTTTCGCTCTTGCGAAATCTGGAGCTCCGATTACAAGGCTCAAGCTAAGAGAATGCAGACTGATAGGGGATGCCTCGGTGATGGCTCTTGCATCTACGCGGGTCTACGAAGACGAATGTCCAGGGAGTAGCTTGGGTTTGTTGGATCTTTATGACTGTGGTGGCATCACTCAACTCTCATTCAAATGGCTAAGGAAACCGTTTTTCCCGAGGCTTAAATGGTTAGGGATCACAGGAAGCGTGAACAGAGATATCGTAGATGCTTTGGCGAGGAGACGACCGTATTTGCAGGTCTCTTGCCGTGGAGAAGAGCTTGTGAATGATGGAGAAGACGACTGGGACTCTGCAGATATACACCAATACATGGAAGCACAAGAAGATGAGCTTGAACAGTGGATTCTAGGAGACGAAGGTGATGTTGAAATGGAAGATGCAGAGGATGAAGGAAGTGAAGAAGACTGATAATACCGCAAACGCTGCTTCTCTCGTACCGGTAAAAGAAAACCGAAAAAAGCTTCGGTTAACAGGTTTGTGATCTTGTATACGCTTTGTATGAGGTATAAGTGTAATTTTAGCGACTTTCTTTAGGTTCTATTGTTTCGTTTTTTCTAAATTCTTGTAGTTGTTGTTCTAATCATCTCATATTTCTTGAACTTTTGGTCTTTGATTATTGAATAAGGATATCTAGTAAAAGTAGTTTTTGTCGTAAATTGGATTTGATGTTTTGTATGAATTATGTCCCAACTCAGAACCATTTGAGTCTCTAATCATATCAATATAATTGTACACTAGTTTAAATTGGTCACATCTCACATAACATTTACAATTCTTGCGATTACACGTAACACTTATATTCCTAATCAACGTTAAGTTTTTTTGTGTGCCATGCATCAATCATCATAACAAGCGCCGAAGTTTATGTTTCCATTCTAAAAATTCGTAAATTTGTTTTTTGTTTTTTCTTTTGTGTTTTTCTTTTTTTCCCACTTTTCCGATGGATTTCAGAAATTCCTTCAAATCGCACAGCTCGTACAAACAGATTCGAAGCCCCGTGGATCAAAGCGAGGCAAGCCCTGAGCACCGTCCGATCCTCCACGATCACGATCACCATCATCAAGGCATGGACGAGCAACGCAACAAGACAGAGAGCTCTCGCTCTAGCCTCGACGATGGCCGAGACGCACCCGTGGAACGCGATTCCAGCTATAAATTCTGGCAAGACAACACCGGAACTTCCGATCACGCCGTTCCTCGAACCAGCATCAAAGATCCGAGCGCTATCAATCGACGAAGCGGTAGATTAAGCGGGAGTTTCGATTTCGGATCAGGTAAGCCGCTGCCTATTGAGGAATCTCCGACGAAAATGGCCGGAGGAAAATGGGGAGGAGGAGGAGGAGGAGAGATCACACTCGACGTGGATCAAGAAAACGAGGACTTGAGCCGCCACACGCAGCCAACGCCTACGTCAACGGCTCGAACCTCCTTCGACGCGTCGAGGGAGCTGCGAGTCTCATTCAACGTCCGTGGAGCTTCCGGTACGAATTTCGCCGGCTCGGTCCCTTCTTCTTCCGCTACTCCGTCGTCTTCTTCGTCGGCGACAATGCGGACGAACCAGGAGACGACGACGCAGCAGGAACAGGAGGAGGTCTTGAGATGCACGTCGAACATGTCGTTTCAGAGGAGATCAGAGCTTGTTTCGAGAGTTAAGACGAGATCGAGGCTTCAGGATCCGCCGAGAGAGGAGGACACTCCGTATTCGGGTTGGAGATCCGGCCAGTTGAAATCCGGTATACTCGGTGATATTGATGAAGAGGACGATCCATTAGCTGAAGAAGATGTACCTGATGAGTACAAGAGAGGGAAACTCGACGCCATAACATTGCTCGAGTGGCTTAGTTTAGTCGCTATAATAGCTGCATTAGCGTGTAGTTTATCGATTCCTTCTTGGAAGAAAGTTAGGGTTTGGAACCTCCATTTATGGAAATGGGAAGTGTTCTTGCTTGTTCTTATATGCGGGAGGCTAGTTTCGGGATGGGGGATACGAATCGTCGTCTTCTTCATCGAGAGGAACTTTCTTTTGCGGAAACGTGTTCTTTACTTCGTCTACGGTGTGCGTAGAGCTGTTCAGAACTGTCTCTGGCTAGGGCTTGTTCTTCTCGCTTGGCATTTCTTGTTCGACAAGAAAGTACAGAGAGAGACGAGGAGCAAGTTTCTTCCTTACGTAACCAAGATCTTGGTGTGTTTCTTGCTGAGCACCATCTTGTGGCTGATCAAGACGCTTGTGGTTAAAGTTTTAGCCTCTTCGTTCCACGTTAGTACTTACTTTGATCGGATTCAAGAAGCTCTGTTTAATCAGTACGTGATCGAGACGTTATCTGGTCCTCCGATGATTGAGATGAGCAGGATTGAGGAAGAGGAAGAGCGTGCGCAAGAAGAGATCTTCAAGATGCAGAACGCAGGCGCGAATTTACCTCCAGACCTTTGCGCGGCTGCGTTCCCGCCGGGAAAGAGCGGGAGAGTGATGAATCCGAAGCTCTCTCCGATCATGTCGAAAACAACAGCTGATACTGGAATCACCATGGAGAATCTTCACAGGATGAATCACAAGAACATCTCAGCTTGGAACATGAAGAGGCTAATGAAGATTGTGAGACATGTTTCGCTTACCACGTTGGACGAGCAAATGCTTGAGACAACATACGAAGATGAATCCACTCGACAAATACGAAGCGAGAAAGAAGCTAAAGCAGCCGCAAGGAAGATATTCAAGAACGTTGCTCAGCGTGGCGCAAAGTGTGTCTATAGTCTCCTTCTCTTTTCTTTTATTAGTTTCTTTATTTAGAAGTTTCCTAATAAAACTCATTCATCTAAATGAACAAAAGGCACATTTACCTGGAGGATTTGATGAGGTTTTTGCGTGAAGACGAGGCGATGAAGGCAATGGGACTCTTCGAAGGTGCACCAGAGAACAGAAGGATAAGCAAATCAGCTTTAAAGAACTGGCTGGTAATTTTTTTTTTTCTGCATAGAAACTTATTCCCCAAGATTCTCCAAGATTTTCTTGCTGTGTATATATATCACTCCGTTGTTGACTTTGATTAGGTCAATGCTTTCAGAGAGCGAAGAGCTCTTGCCCTAACACTCAACGACACCAAGACAGCTGTGAACAAGCTACATCAAATGATCAATATCGTCACTGCCATTGTCATAGTAGTCATATGGCTTGTCCTTCTCGAAATCGCTTCCTCCAAGGTACTTCTCTTTGTGAGCTCACAAGTTGTACTCTTGGCCTTCATCTTCGGGAACACGGTCAAGACCGTCTTCGAGTCCATCATCTTCTTGTTCATCGTGCATCCTTACGATGTTGGTGATCGCTGTGAGATTGACAATGTACAGGTATAAAAAGCTTTTTACTAACTTTGCAATGTACCCTAACTTTATTTGGCTAATAAAAGTTTATCTTAAAATCCAGCTGGTGGTGGAAGAGATGAACATACTTACCACAGTGTTCTTGAGATATGACAATCTCAAGATTATGTATCCGAATAGTCTTCTTTGGCAGAAATCAATCAACAATTACTACCGTAGTCCAGATATGGGAGACGCAATCGAGTTCTGTGTCCACATTACAACTCCTCTTGACAAAATCTCCACGATCAAGCAGAGAATATCAAAGTAAGAGCAAACACATTATATTACACCTTTAAATGCTGCTTATACGCACGTTTTTATTACATTTACTGATTCTTTCTTGAATGGCAAATGTTAGCTACATTGACAACAAACCAGAGTATTGGTACCCAACAGCCAAGATCATTGTTAAGGATGTAGAAGATTTGAACATCATAAGGCTAGCAATTTGGCCATGTCACAGGATTAATCACCAAGACATGGCTGAGAGATGGACAAGGAGAGCAGTTTTGGTCGAAGAAGTGATTAAGATCCTCCTCGAACTCGACATTCAGCACCGGTTCTATCCACTAGACATCAATGTCAGAACAATGCCTACCGTTGTCTCGAGCAGAGTTCCACAAGGCTGGTCACAAAACCCTGTCTGAATTTGATGAACAAACAAGAGGGCAAAAGGAGTCACACAATTTTGTAATCAGCAAACACTAATATAATTAATTAGATTTTATACCAAAACTTTGACATTTTCAAGATTCATCGTTCCTAGTCTCTTTACATGTGCTTCTGGGATTAGGGAGCAAGTATAATCACACACGTACCCTTTTAACCATTTTGATTCAATCATATCAAAAAAAGATTCAACAAATCATTCTTGCCTTTTGAGTAAAGCCCTAATAAGACGAGCTATGGATTGGCTTCAAAACAAACAATGATGATTCAGTAAATTTCTGAGTATAAAAGAGAAAAATGAAGATAAGAATCAATCCAAGTTTTAAAGTCTTCACCTTTCTATATGACAATAGGAACGAGGGAGACACCCAAGATGTTCACGAAATGTCCCATAGAAGTATTGTGTTGTGTTGGGTGTTAATGTTGTTGTTAATAAATGTACCAACCCTAATAACGAAAACCATCATCAGACCAAACTTAGAACGTGAGATGTGCAAAAGCATTGTATTAAATTTAGTGATCGTTTTTCAAAACACGAATTAATTGCTATATTAAGACTTAAATCCAACTCATGGAGGTTTAAAAACTCCTAAACCAATCACAATTGTTACTACAGTTTTGAGTAACAGAGGACTAAAAAGAAAAAAAGCGCGATTACATTACACCTAAAACTCGTAACTCTTTCTTCTAAACTATAACGTAAAACAAGAAATGCATCATCACAGATTCAGAAACCTTCCAAGTTTCTGTTTCTGAACAATCTTAATATTGTGTCTTTTTTTTTTCTTCCATCTTGTTTTGTATTTGGTTTTCCGATGGATTTCCGGAAGCCCTTTAGCTTTCATGGCTCGTACAAACAGATTATAAGAACCGGAGATCAAACCGAGAAGAAGAAGAAGAGTAAACTCCCAATTCTTGACGATTACATCGCCAAAACGCAGAGCGCTGGTTCTAGCTTTGACGGCAAGAAAGCAGCCATGGGGAGAGATTCCAGCGAAAAGTTCTGGCAAGACATCGTAACCGATGATCAAGCTCGAAACCGGAAGAGAGGGAGTTTCGATTTCCCGCGATACCGAGATGAGATCACACTCGATGTGGACGACGAGGAAACAGAGGAAATCAGCAACAACAACACACCAGCTTCCGGTTTAGACGGGTCTAAAGAAACGAGAGTCTCTTTCAAAATCAACAGTTCTCCAGGTACCAATAACAATTTGTCCGGTTCGGCTCGTTCTTGTACGTCCTCGACTTCTTTTTCCTCGGCGACAATGCGGATAAACTTAGACCAGCAAGATCAGGACGAAGAGGTTGTAATAAGATGCTCATCGATGAGGAAAACAGAGCTCGTCTCCAGGGCGAAAGCAAGATCGAGGCTGATAGATCCGCCTCAAGAAGAGGAACAGCAGTTTTCGAGTTGGATGGGGACATCAGATCAGTTAAGATCCGGTTTACTTGGGAGACAATCAAGTATCGAGGAAGAAGACGATTCATTGGCTGAAGAAGATGTTCCGGAGGAATATAGAAGGTCAAAAATGGACGCGATCACGCTGCTTCAATGGCTGAGCTTGATCGCAGTCGTAGTTGCGTTAGTGTTGAGTTTAGGGATTCATTCTTGGAGACACACGACTCTTTGGAAGCTTCACTTGTGGAAATGGGAAGTGGTCTTTCTTGTTCTCATCTGCGGGAGGCTGGTTTCGGGAATGGGGATCCGAATCATCGTCTTCTTTATAGAGAGAAACTTCCTCTTGAGAAAGCGGGTTCTTTACTTCGTGTACGGGGTGAAGACGGCTGTTCAGAACTGTCTCTGGCTAGGGCTTGTTATCATCACGTGGCATTTCTTGTTCGACAAGAAAGTAAAGAGGGAAACACAGAGCGATGTTCTGCTTCTTGTGACCAAGATCTTAACGTGTTTCTTGTTGAGCACTATCTTGTGGTTGGTCAAGACATTGGTTGTTAAAGTTCTAGCGTCTTCGTTCCACGTTAGTACCTACTTTGATCGGATTCAAGAAGCTCTGTTTCATCATTACTTGATCGAGACGTTATCTGGACCTCCAATGCTTGAGCTGAGCAGGATCGAAGAGGAGGAAGAGCGAGCACAAGAAGAGATCTTCAAGATGCAGAAAGGAGGCGCCAATTTATCACCGGACCTTTGTTCCGCTGCGTTTCCGCCGGAAAAGAGCGGAAGCGTGATGACCGGCGTGAAGCTCTCTCCGATCATCCCAAAGACAGGAACTGATAACGGAATCACAATGGATGATTTGCAGAGGATGAATCAGAAGAACGTTTCGGCTTGGAACATGAAGAGGCTGATCAAGATTGTGAGAAATGTTTCTCTGACTACATTGGACGAGCAAGCGCTACAAAACACATCTGAAGATGAATCAATCAGGCAGATACGTAGCGAAAAGGAAGCTAAAGCAGCTGCAAGAAAGATTTTCAAGAACGTGGCTCAACGTGGAACAAAGTAAGAGTCTGAATTTGTTCTCTTCTCTCTTTAACAGTTTCGCTAATAAACTCATGTCTGAATGAAAAACACAGGCACATTTACTTGGAGGATTTGATGAGATTTTTGCGAGCAGAGGAAGCGATTAAGACAATGAGCCTCTTCGAAGGTGCATTAGTAACCAAAAAGATCACTAAATCAGCATTGAAGAACTTTCTGGTACATAGAAACATACGTTTTGATTCTTCTTAAGATTATGCATTTGTGTGTATATAAGTTTTTGTTTCTACTTCATTAGGTGAATGCTTTTAGAGAAAGAAGAGCACTTGCGCTAACACTCAACGACACTAAAACCGCAGTGAACAAACTCCATCAGATGATTAGTTTTCTCACTGCTATTGTCATTGTAGTCATCTGGCTAATCTTTCTTGAGATCATCACTTCCAAGAATCTACTCTTCTTAACTTCACAAGTTGTTCTCTTGGCCTTCATGTTCGGGAACACACTCAAGACAATCTTCGAGTCAATCATCTTCCTCTTCATCATTCACCCTTACGATGTTGGTGATCGGTTAGTGATCGACACTGTTGAGGTATAAAAACACTAAAGTGCATGTGTTTGTGTTTTGAGTCTATTTAGTGAATCTTAATTTACAAACACCAAATTTGTAGATGGTGGTGGAGGAAATGAACATTCTCACAACAGTGTTCTTGAGAGCTGACAATCTGAAGATTGTGTATCCGAATATTCTTCTGTGGATGAAAGCAATCCACAATTACAATCGTAGTCCGGACATGGGAGATGAAGTCCAGTGCTGTCTCCACATTACTACTCCTCCTGAAAAGATTGCCGCAATCAAACAAAGAATCTCAAGGTAAAAAAGTAGCACTGTTCCTTATGTCATACAAGATTATGACAGCATAATGATATGATGATTCAGGATGATGATCTTTTTTTTTTTTTAAATATAAAATGCAGCTACATTGATAGCAAACCAGAGTATTGGTACCCGAAAGCCGATATCATTGTAAAGGACGTGGAGAATCTGGACATTATCAGGTTAGCAATATGGCCGTGTCATAAGATTAACCATCAGAACATGGGAGAGAAATTTACAAGAAGAGCCTTGTTGGTTGAGGAGGTGATCAAAATCTTGCTTGAACTCGACATTCAGCACCGGTTTCCTCCGCTTGACATCAATGTCAAGACCATGCCTACGGTTGTCTCGAGTAGAGTCCCACCTGGCTGGTCGCAAAACCCAGCTTCAGAATAATGGAGCTGCATGGTTTATTAGATAGGTGTAACATGAGTCTGCTTTGTTTTGTTTAAGTTGATAACAATATTACTATTTGAGTGTTAAGTAATTATGTTATCTAAAGAGAATGAGAGACATGAAATTATGTTGTGTATATATTATATACGAAAGTGAAAGTAAAGAAAGGATATTTTCAGTTTGTGAGTGGGAGATGAAAATGCTCTCTAGATCAGTCACCTAATTTGCTTTGGCCCCTAATTTTCTGTGGTCTATTTAAGATTTATTTTTTATATGTATATAGAATATTATTAACGTTTGTTTATATACGCCCAATTTTTTACTAAAGCCCAATTGATTAAAAGAAATGAATCATAAATAATTAACAAATTGGCGCAATTCTCATTTACTTTTATTTATTTATTTTTGGTTCCTCTCCGACTCCTCTTCCTTTATTCGACTCTTTCTCACAGTTTTCTCCCGAGAGTCCACATACAAAGCATAATTTGTTCTTCTGATTGAGTACGGTTTAATCCCAATTAAAGTCTAGCCATCAAGCCATCAGCCATGCAAGGTAATTCTTTACTAACAATAGAATTGAAATTCATAAGTTGTCCCAAATTTCGCCCTAGGATTGAAATTTGAAAGTTTGATCAGAAAATCAATTCTTACTAATTTTTTTCTTTGATGTAAAATTTCTAGGAGTTTCAATGAGAAAAACAAAGTGTAAAACAGGAGCCCAAAAACTTAGAGAGAAAAAAAGAAGAAAAAGAGGACAAGTCTCTAGCCGGCTCCATGTTAATGTTTGTTAGAGGATTAAAAACTCGCAATACTGATGAGTGTCGTGGAGTTTCTGATGAAAATTACTTGTTTAGAGAATGATACCATTGAGAAGGCAGAGAAAAACAAGAATCTACCTAAAGAAGATGTGAATGGTGTTGGTAAACAAGAAGGAATTTTGGATAAAACTGATCCTGCAAACTGAAAAGTAATTGATCAGAGTTTGAAAGATTTTCTAGTGGAAAAAAGCCCTATGAAAAGAGTACACGAGGACTACATATTTCCGAGAAGTGATTGTGGAAGACATTTTCCCCATAGGTATTACAAAAGAGAGATGAAAAATGGAGAGAGACAAAATATGAATTGGCTACTTTATTCAAAAGTATCAAACAAAATCTATTGCTTTTGCTGCAAGTTGTTTGATCGGGATCAAGATGCCACTTAGTTGTCAAGCAAGGGGTTTAATGATTGGAGAAATGTCAGGGTACGACTGAGCCAACATGAAACTAGCCATTTTCATATTATGTGCATGAGTCAGTGGATGGAATTAGAGTTGAGGCTAAGGAAGAATCAGACCATTGGTAAGTGTCTCCAAGAAGAAATCTACAAAGAGAAAAACCATTAGCGATGGGTTTTGTTGAGAATATTTTCATTGGTGACAACTTTTGCTAAACAGAATTTGGCATTTCGTGGAACTAATGAGAAGCTTGGTCAAAGAAACAATGAAAACTTCTGAGTTTTGTTGAATCATTTGGTGAATTCGATCCAGTCATGTGAGAGCATATCAGATGGGTTAAAAAAGGTGACACTCACTATAATTATTTAAGCCACATAATTCAAGATGAGTTGATTGTTATGCTAGGATCTGAGGTTAAACTTATGATCATCAAGACAATTCAAGAGGTAAAGTATTTTCTGTTATTCTCAATTGCACTCCAAATAAGAGTCATAAAGAACAAATGAGTCTTATTATCAGATGTGTGGATGTCTCCGTGGCTAAAACGCATGTGAAAGAATTTTTTGTGACATTCTTAGAAGTTGCAGATAAATCTGAAGAATGACTTTTTGAGCTGCTTTGTAATACTTTGGTTGCTCTTAATTTACATATTGATGATGTGAGAGGACAAGGCTATGACAATGGATCTAATATGAAAGGAAAACACAAATGAGTGCAGATTGCTTGATATCAATCCAAAAGCATTTTACACGCCTTGTGGTTGCCACAGTCTTAATTTGGCACTTTGTGATATGGCAAAATCATCTCCAAAAGGAATTGCATTCTTTGGAGTCGTTCAACGGATATATTGTTTGCTTTCATCATCTACAAAGAGGTGGGGGTTATTAACAGAAATGGTAGGAGGTCTCAAACTTAAGTCATTATCAGAGATTCGGTGAAAAGTTGTGTTGAAAGTGTTTGAGCTATTCAATTTCAAGCACCAAAAATAAGAGATGCGTTGGATTATTTGGCAGAAAATTGTGATGATCCTGGAGCTTGCAGCGATGCCGAAGCTCTTGCTACGAGTGAAACTCATGGAATTGAAGGATTTGAGTTCTTATTTGGTATGGTTATTTGGTATGATCTTCTATTTATCGTTAATACGGTAAGTAAGGCAATGCAATCGGAGCATATTGATATTGATAATGCTCTTGTTCTATTGAAAGGGTTAGTTTCTTATCCACAAGACAACAAAGAAACTGGATTTACAAAGCAAAAGCAGAAGCTAAGATTATTGCAGGGTCTATGGATATCGAGCCAGAATTTCCAGTGAAGTGAAAGCGCATTACTAGAAAGAAAAAGCATTTTGATGAAGAGGTGAGAAGAAATGATGAATCTGAGATGCTAAGCGAGGAAGAGAAGTTTAAAATCGTATCTCTTCGGGTGAGGTTTGAACAGTTTGAAGGATATGGAAAAATATTTGGACTTTTGTTTAATCTAACGAAGCTCAAATCAGCAAGAAGTGATGCTTGAAAAGCAGCATGTTTCAACCCTGATACTTCTTTTAAACAAGGTGGGATTTCAGACATTGATGGATATCATTTATTCGAAGAGATCAAAGTTTTAAGACATGTTTTGCCAAACAAAATCAAGAAGGCTGTTGAAGTGTTAACTTTTTAAAAGGGTATGAAGGTCGTTGTTATCCAAATACATGGATTGCATATAGAGTGATGTTAACTGTCCCAGTTTCAGTTGCCTCGGCCGAAATGAGTTTTTCCAAGTTAAAGTTAATAAAATCTTATCTGCAATCGAGTATATCAGAGGAGAGACTGAATGGTTTACCGATGCTCTCAATTGAGAGAGATATGGTTAGAAAGCTTGATTATCAAAGCTTGATGGACGATTTTGCTGGAAGTATTTTTCAAAAGCCATAGATTATTTTTAGTTTACTTTTGTTTTTGGAAAATTATGATTTCTTTAGCATTTTTTACAATTAAAACATATTTATATTTATATGAGATTTTTTCAGTTCAATTTTTATGGCCCCATTTTGTAATTATGCTCGAGCCCCCAAAATCTCAGGACCGGCCCTAAATGATACCACTATAAAATACTTACAAAATTAGGTTACTCATTAAAAATATTACTCAATTATTATATAGAGGATAGGAGATTAATACTCATTCAAATAGTTTTGACCAAAAACAAATTTATGGTAAGGAAATTAAAAACCGAATCTTATTAAATGTTGAAATTGTTTTGGAAGTACAATAATGGGATTAATGGATTAAATCCCATAAATAGAGCTTTGTAGATTTAGAAAATGGCAAACTAGTTTTTTTCCGATATATATTATCATATAATATATAAAAGTTGATGGCATAGTGCATTGAGGGTGTCCACATGGGATTAAAAAATTCGATATGATTGGTCCACATCAGCATATTCATTAAAATAAAAAATGTTAAGTATGATTAGAATGGAAAACTTGATTTAATTGGTCCACATCAGCTTTTAATTCAAACCAAAAATTATTAAGTATAATTAAAATATTAAAAGTTAATTTAACAAATTATGTCCAACAAAAAAAGTAAATTCAGTCTGATTGTTCCAAATTAACATATTTATTAAATCAAAAATGTAAATATAGTTTAAAATTTTAAAAGTTAAATAAAAAATATAACAATTAACAATACATGTATAAAGAAAGTAATCATTATCAATTATCAATTTAAAAAAATCTACAACAACTCGATTTAACAATTAAAACAATAAAAACTGAATAAAAATATAACATAAAACTTTTGGAAGACATGATGGAGAAGGAAAAACTGGTTTTGCATGATCATTACAGCTTCCTAACAAAATTAAATGTGAATCAACATGAATCATGTATTATATATACAGTGGTACACAACATCAATAAGACTTTCAATAAAAAAACTAAATATTTGAACACATAAACCTTCAAGAAAAAAAAAACTATAAAAATTCTATGGAAAACAGAAAATAATACCCAAATCTTAGCAATATTATATTTCTCTAAATCAAATGTATATGTACGTCAAAGTTGGATAATTCGATAGGTGTCATTGTTATTATTTTACCTAATAGTTTTTTAAATTTATAAATAAAAATAGGATAAATTACATATTATATATTAAATTCTCTTATATAAATGAAAATTTCTATAAATATATATAAATTTTCATAATTTTAAAGATAGTAGCTAAAAAGAATAAACCAAAATATTAATAAAGACTCGTGCGTAGCACGAATTATATACCTAGTATAATATATAAAAGTTGATAGCATAGTGCATTGAGGGCGTCCACATGGGATTAAAAAACTCAATATGATTGGTCCACATCAGCATATTCATTAAATAAAAAAATGTTAAGTATGATTAGGACGGAAAAACTTGATTTAATTGGTCCACATCAGCTTTTAAATCAAACCAAAAATTATTAAGTATAATTAAAACATTAAAAGTTAATTTAACAAATTATGTCCAAAAAAAAGTAAATTCAATCTAATTGATCCAAATCAACATATTTATTAAATCAGAAAATGTTAATATGGTTTAAAATTTAAAAGTTAAATAAAAAATTAACAATTAACAATATATGTATATAAAAAAGTAACCATTATCAATTAAAAAAAAATCTACAACAACTTGATTTAACAATGAAAACTGAATAAAAATATAACATACAACTTTTGGAAGACATGATAGAGAAGGAAAAAATGGTTTTGCATGATCATTACAGCTTCCTAACAAAATTAAATATGAATCAACATGAATCATGGATTATATATAGAGTGATACACAACATCAATAAGATTT